CTTCAGTGGGCACTTCATGAATGATGAAACCTTGCTCAGGATACTTTTTCCTCCTCCATTTCTCTTCCTAATTCCCTGCAAGACAATCTGCAGTGGTGGCTAGACAAAGCCCATACATCAGTGGGTATACAGCCTTCTCCCTCACATCCAGATCTACATCTTTTCACAGATGCATTCCTTCAGGAATGAGGGCATGGGTCAATCACCAAGAGGCTTCTAGCTGTTGGTCTGCAGACGCAGTTATCTTGCATATCAATGTTCTTGAAATTTTAGCAGTATGTTGGGGATTGCATCACTTCCTTCTTATTGCCCGTCATGGTCTGGTGATGGTTCATTCAGACGATTCTGCAGTGGTGGCACATATCAAACACCAAGGGGGAACCGAGTCCAGAGACCTGAGTTTTCAGACATTGGATCTATTATACTGGACTCATGCACATCAACATCACATTTGCCTTAAAGCATATCATGTGCCGGGTGCTTTCAATCTAGTCGTGGATCATCTTTTGCACCCTGACCAGATATATCTAATGGAGTGGGTATTAGATCCACTCATTTTCAGGGATCATTTCCATTGGTAAGGTTTTCCCCACTCGTCCACTCCACTTCTTGTCAGGTTCTTCTGATTGCTCCCTATTGGCCAGCTCAATCTTGGTTTCCAAGGTTACAACATCTGCTCTTATCACAACCTGCCCCTCTTCTACTTTCTCCCTCTTTTCTTCATCAACCTCGATCCTACATTCTACATCCCAGTCTCCACATCCTGTGGCTTCATGCCTGGCTTTGGCAAGATGATCCATTTCACACATTGAGCTGCTTCCTTGATAACAAGTTCCAAATGGCCATCTTCCATGGAAATATACCAATGCAAGTGGAAAGTCTTCTGCTGTTGGTCTGCTAACAGGGGGTTTTCTGCTGACAAGCTCTCTGTGGCTCATTTGGCAGAATTTCTTACCTGTGTCTTTGGTCTCCTTGCTTTCTCTATATCGGGCGGCCCTATCCCATACTTTCCGTTTTTCCTGATACTGTCAGGTTGTTACCTCCCCTGTTCTTATCATGCTTGTGTGTTCCTTCAGGATACAATGACCTCCCAGGCATCCTGCCCTTCCAGATTGAAACATCAGTGTGATCCTCCATGCCCTTACTTTACCTCTGTTTGAACCACTTTCCTCATGTTTCTTGTTTCACCTGTCTTTTCTTCTCTTAACTGTGGACATCAATGGTCAGATATGTTTGCCATTGATGTTTCATCTGCCCTTTATTACCCTACCTATCTTCTTCTTTATTCCGATCGTTCCTTTCTCCCTAAGACCTCAGCTAGTCAGGAGGGTTGTTCATCCTTTTCTCCTATTTCCCTTCCTTCTATATCCCATGTTTATCCTCTACCAGTTCCAGGTAGTCTTCTGTGTCTGGTCTGGATCCTTCATTGTTATGTACTGCTACCTATCGGGGTATGCACAATGGACTTTTTATCCCATGGCAATCATCCTCTCTTTGTGATCTTTCACCTTGTAACCTTACTAATTGGGTCCATCTTCCCTACTTTTTCCTCCCTTACCTTGTTTCAGGTTTCCTTCCATCAAATCCAACATCTCGTTTTATCCCTCACTTCTTGTCTTCATCGTCTGATGGACGAGATTCAACTGTCCAGCATGTGGACCACTCGCAGTACATTCATCTCCCACTATCTTCATCATGTTGGACTTTCCTCTTTGTCGGGGTTTCGTTTACCACATGTGGTTATTCTCCAGACTTTGGTGCAACTTTAACTGATAGGTTTTATTCATTCTTTTTTTTCAGGTGCTTTTATCTCCCTTTTTATCACATGGATCCTGCTCTGTGGCGAATGGTGCCTGACCAGGTATTCTGTAATTGTAAATTCATACCGTACAGCCATGTTGACTCACACTTTACTTTCCATGACTTCCCATGCTCACTGTCGAGATAGGGTGTTCCACAAGATTGCTTGATGGTGAATAACCTCATGATATTTTGCTTCATAAACATGCCCATCCCAGACTGTACCATGCATGGACTGCATAGGTAAAGCAGTAGGGTATTGCTGCCTATCCCTGCCATGCCTCAAGTGAATAACTCAGTATTGTCTGCTTTTCAAAATATGCTTTTGTGGTCACCCATTGCACCATCTCCAGTGATGATGTTCCTCTGAAATATCCTAAGCATTGTCACCCTCCTTTCCTCCAGTGGAGTATGGGAGTCCTTACCACTTTCTAGTTTTAAACCACTGAGATAGTTGACCATGGAGGCACCCTCCTGAATGAATTTCACAAATAAAGGGCTATAACCATTCAGTTGAAAGTAGACAGGTGGTGTTCTGCTGGTGTAGATGAGACGTGGCCTTCAGAGGACTTGAGCTGTCACAGTGATGGATGACGTGGCCTCCTGATAACATTTACAGAACAACTGGAGTTTAGCCGTCTTCTTCCTCAAAAATGTGGCCTACTGATACCATTTACACAACCACTGGAGTTGAGCCATTGCCTTATTGCATGACATGGCCTCCAGAGGAGTTGAGCCATCACCATACTGAATGATGTTGCCTCCTGAAACCATTTACACAACCACTGGAGTTGAGCCATCACCTTACTGGTTGATGTGGCCTCCTGATACAAATTCCACACCCACAGGAGTTGAGCTGTCACCTTCCTGGATGACATGGCCTCCTGATAACATTTACACAACAACATAAGTTGAGCCATCACCTTATGAGATGACGTGGCCTCCTGATTCCATTTACACAAACACTGGAGTTGAGACATTACCTTACTGGATGATTTGGCCTACTGATATCGTTTACATAAACACTGGAGTTGAGCCATTGAAATTGTGTTCCACCCCTTTGATTGGGAGACCTCATCCTACTCTCACGTGGATATTGGTACCCTGTGAAGGGGTTTCGGATTAGAATGAACCAATTACCATAAGTCTTCACACGAGTTCAGGTTGTCTATCATCATCCCCCAATTACTCCACCTGTGTTGTGGGTCACAGTGGTGGTACGTAGGATTGTTACGGTTCTATCCTTGACTGTTCCTTGTTCTCTTCTCATGGGGATGTTATTGCCTTTGGATAATGCTGGCCTGTGCCATAGTTGCGGCAGTTGATTCCATGCAATAGACATCCTTTCAATATCGGATGTCAATTCCTGGATCGATAGATCTGAGATTATCCTCGTGTCATACCCAGAAATCAGTGCGAGTTTTAATCCGTGATTCTTGGGTTTGAGTTGAAGATGGTATGATCCTCATCCTACTCTCATGTGGATGTCGGTACTCCGCAAGGAGATTTTAGATGTAGTTGACTTATAGAGTATAGTCCACCGTGCCCTAGCCACTTTACATCTCTCAATTTCCAACCTTAGGTCATATACATTCCACACATGGGTGAAGAGTATACCTGACTCACAAGTGGTGTGGTTCTTCTCTTCTGATCTATATCTCTTATTGTGAGGGGTATCCTTCAGATGCTTTTGGGGGTACTTCTTTCTTTCCCTCGCACCGGTCCCAACTCCTTCTCAATGTGTGGTTACAGCTAATCTTGTGAGAGGAGGTAAGTACCGTATTGGAAGTTATAATTTTCCTATACTCATACTTCCTACTTCTCCAGTGCTCACACCTTCTGCCAAACTTCGAAGTGAAGGTTCAGTAGAGGAGTTTAGAGGGAGTCACATACATCATGTGAGCATATCATGCTTTTATTGGTTCAAAGATGACACATGATGATTTACATGAGAGACATGTTGGAATATAGTAATTCCAATGGGGGGGAGCAGAAGGCTTGTGGCATGTGTAAAGAAGTTCGCATACAGAGGGTAATGCTGAATGAGAATAGCTAATCTTGTGAACGGAAGTAAGTATTTATCGGAAATACATTTTCAGTATAGGAAAATTAGAACTTTTGTTTGCCATGTAAAAGCAGTAAATTTATTAGTTTCCCTTTTTTTATGTGTTTTGCTGAAGTAATTATTTTGGCAGTCATTTTTTGATTTAAAAAAATTTCTACTGGTAATTTTAAACTATGGAAGATCACGAAAGACTATCCAGCATAAATTTAGGAATTAGTGAGAGTGCTTTTATGAAACAGTTGTACACAACTTTTAAAAGAATTACAGAGTTAACTTTTGTAAGTAAGAATAATAAAACTAATAATATCTATTTGTATTAGTTTTAACAGTATGTAGATAATTTTATTACAGAATTCCTCGCAGCAAATTGGACTAGCATTTTTAGACCTGTTATAGTATTATTGCCAGTAAGTGTTTGTGATACCTGGCTTTCAAGCCTACAGTTACAGGCATAATGTCATAGTATATAACTATATCATTTTGTGGTTTTTATTTCATTGTAAATAAAAATCTCATTTATATTCAGAAACATTTGTGGTTATCATTGTTTGTGGTGAAATTTATAAATTATTAATTTATATGAAAACAAATTCAGAAGTTGAAGAAGGTATAATGCTTCTGGGTTGTTAAGGGTTAAGAAGATAATTAACAAGGATTTGAAGTTGGTGAAAGTTCACAATATTTCAGCTAAATCTTAAAATCAGTAGTTATTTTCATAAGAAAGGTATAAAAAGAAACTGGAATTTCTATAGAGAACATAGCTTTCAAGTTCTCTAATGCATTTCCAATGGACATTATTTTAGCATTTAGTCTGCTTTAACATGGTCTTGGAATTTGATGTCCACTTGCCATGAAGGTTCTGTGGAAAGTTTAAGATGTATAGTTTGAGATTGACCTAACTTTCATTTGCAGAAGCTCGTTATAATAAGGTGGAAGTTGTGGTATTGAGCAATAAATATGTAGTCATAACAATTAGATGAGCATGGTTGATGGTGGAGGAAGTAATTTTGTAGGGCATCATGAGACCTAGATGTTCTTATGAAATATGGTTATCTCTCTGTAGTTGCTTTCAGGTTATTACTTGTTGCTTTTTATCAAAAAAATTTGTAAACATTATGTCACATTCATATTTTAGCGTGAGAATAAATGTCTGTTGGAGAGCAACATGCGACTGGAACAAGAGAATGATGATCTTGCTCATGAATTGGTTACAAGTAAAATACAACTAAGAAAGGATCTTGATATTGTAAGTACCCCTTGGTTATTTTACAACAAATTGGTTTAAATTTAAGCATTACCTTTACTGCTGAAGAGACCTTCATAAATTTAGTGATAAAAATTAAATTATTCAGCTTTGTTCATAAGTTTTTTTACCATAAGCTGATTATGATTAAAGATGGTAGGAGACACTGAATAAAGTTTATTGAAGAATTCTAATAAAAGCTGTAAATGTGACAGAGATTGCAGTAGTATTTGTATTTTTAAACAGACCATTTGAGAACCCCTTTTGTAGTAATATATGTATGTTAATAAAATAGCTTTTGTACATACACAAAATAAAATGTATGCAAATAATTAAGCATTGAGTATCTTTTAATATTAACATCATTTTTTATTATTTTTTATTGTTAGTGTTCTATCAATTTGTGATGTTTAAATTTTCAAGAAAAAGCAATTTCATTTGCTTATGAATAATAGAAATTGCCATGTGACAATTAAGTTCAAGCTTTTTTCATGAAGTAACATTTTTTTTAACTTTGTGCAATATGCCCAATTTTTCTATGTAGTTAAAGAAAAATCTGTCGCATTTTCAGTTAGTTAATCATTACTATAAGGATTGAGACTGATATATTCATATCCTTGTACATAAGAAAGATATAAATGAAGCACTATTGAGACTAGTTTGTAGATATTATTTGAGGCCCACTCTGGCTATTTTTAATATTTTTTTGGAATTTACATTTTTGAACATATAGGTTACAATTCCTTGAATTACTTAGGCCCTTTAAGAGTTAACAACCTTATTGTTTTGAACAATGAGGTGATTAATTGTTTTGGAGGAATTTATGGTTGGTTGCTTTCCTTCCTTCCTTCCAAATGAGCTCATTCATGTATTATACAGTATATATCAAACTGAATTTTTAGATTTTGTATTTACTTCTTTATTGCTTTCTAATGTAATATAATCTTTTTTACAAAGTCAATAATCTTCTAATCCTCCTGGCTGTCCTTTTTTGTTCTATTTTCTACAGGAAGTTCCTATCTTATTGTTATCATTTTCACTTTTGAAAGATTCACATTCATTTCAAGTTACTTTTGTCTCCTGTTTTTCTTATTTCAGGAGGAAATAGAACCCTGTTATATAAAGTGTTTTGACCCATTCTCCTGTTGTCTCTATGGCTAAGATACATTGTAAATTTAAATTATTAGTAATTATTAGTAATCTGTAAAGAAACCTTAACCAGAAGTGTGTGTTTTTGGTAGATGCTTTATAGGTGTGAATGGCTGCTATTTTGCCAGCTATGAATGGGTTAAAATGTTGAAGTTTATTACATATTTTAAGTCATTTGATGACTTTAATGGATATTTATTTCACTTCTTGAAATCATAAAGAGTGAATGTTTTGAGTAGTAAAGCAAGTCCTTTTTGTGGCAATCTTGCAGTATAACACTTCATAATTTGCTTCTAATATAAAGACGACTGTTTAGTGAGTATTTTGTTTAATCTAAGTAATAAGTTTTCTCTTTAATTGGGATTTAAATAGAAATTATCTGGTAAAATGCCATTTCAGTGTACATAGAATAAAACTATATTTCTTCATTTCTTATAATAACAGCAAAGTAAGATTGTTAGTTATTCTAGAAGACATAAGGCACTTCTATATAAAGAATAATGTTTTCACAAAATAACACTGTATATGAACTGATCACAGACTGAAGACAAGGCTGAAACCCTGACAAAAGAATTACTCATAGCTAAAACTTCATTGAACGAAGCTGAAGAAGAAAAGAAAAGACTGGAGACAGAAGTAGGCCAGGTCAGATGATGATGATAAACAACTTTTTTAAGTAAACAACTCAAGAGGCTAAGTAGTAGACTGTCAAACTCGTGGAACACGTCCTCAGCCTGATTTTAACTGATGGCCAGATTATATACTGTTTTATGTTATTTGAAAAGAAGTCTTTCATATTATTCTACACTTAAGATGATAGGCAAAAAAAAAGTTGCAAGAAATAAGCGAGTTTTTTATTGAGATGAAGTCTACATTTATGATTGAAGCCTAAATACAATACAGAGGATTAAGTGACTGCTGTAAATATTTCTTAGGCTATATCTTTTTTCATAAGTCCACATAATTTAAGTTAATTAGTTTATGAACCAATAAAACAAAAGGATAATAAACGTTGTGGGATGAAATATTAATTGTTATATGAAATGTTAATTGTACAGATATTCTAGTAAAGTCAATCTACTAGTGTACTGTAATTATAAATCACCATTTATATTTATTTTCACAGAAATAATAAGAATGATGAAAACTATTTCTAGTGGCACACATGATAAAAGTAAACTGCTTAATTCCTGTTCAGGTTTTCTCCCCTAATCTTAATTTGTTTTAACAGGAGAATATTGTTCCTTTTTTTTTACTACAGTTTGAATATGTCGTAATTGTAAGAGCTTTTTAGGTAAGTTTATGTAGTTTGTATAGAATAATTTAGAAAAAAAAGCTGTTCAATTGTCATTTGAATGATAATGCTGATCAAATGTTAAATAGATTTTTCATTTTAAGTTAGATTCGTGTTTTACCTAAAATAGTTTAGCAATATCACTGGATACAAGTTTTTATAAACTTGTACTTTACAGTTACACCAAACTACATTGGTTTGTAGTTTACATAGTTTATTTGGTGACATACTATGATATATGTGTACAGTATAATGTTAATTTTCTTTAAACATCAACTGCATATGTTTCACCTCCAATATGCTGCAATTTGAATATATACATACCTGATGTGCTTTACAAATACAGTAACTAAAATGTTATAATGCATATTATAGACAGAATTTTGTGGATTTCTAATATTAACTAGGCAGAATACTTTTATAATTAGTTATAACCTTTTATTTATTTAACTTTTTGTCTGCATTGTGTGTATATTGCTAATTTTTATTCCTTGTAAGTCTTTACTCTTTACCTTCACTGTTTGTATTAGTTTTTCTTTAGTTATAAGCTTTCAAGTTTGATTTTCATTGTCAATATTAGTTTTTATCAGTTATAAGCTACATCTTTGATTTTCATTGTCGATATTAGTTTTTTATCAGTTATAAGCTACAACTTTTGATCTGCATTGTTTTTATTACTTTTTCTCAATTTTTCTCATTGAAAGAGTTTGTTTTTTACATAAAATTCAATTTCACATACTTAAGAAGTATGGAATATTGATGTTCTACTGTATTTATGTTTATATCATATGTAGAATTAAATTTTAATTCATATGATTTAAGATCAAGGCCATTTAATAACCTCAAGTGCTGTGCGATGATATTTGATTGTAGTGTTTTTTGTACTCTTGCCCCATGAGCATGACTTTTTACCTCAGGCTTTTTTTGAGAGATCCTCACAATGTATCAATTTATTATGGAACTTGCAAGTGATTTTAAGTACAAATCAGTTGGTTCAGTTTTCAAGGGAGTGTTGCCTCTTAACTGAATTGCTTTAAAAGATTTTATATGAACCCTTTGCATGTAACCAAAAAGTTCTTTATAAGTATATATTTTCTAATTTACTGCAGCTGCAGTGAGAATTGCTTTGGTATTGATTAGGGATGCATGGGTAGTAAAATTTGGTCTAATACTAGATCTGGGTACCCAGCCACTAAGCCTCTGCTGGGGCTGGGTGTTAACCGGGACCAGGTCCCCCCCCCAAAAAAAAACATACACAAAAATTAGAAACAAAAACAAAATTGATGTTTATTGCATTTAACTGAATAATCACCAATAAAATTTTATAGTTTTACTTTCAACTTTCAAAATTAACTAACAAAAATTTACACACCATTTTGCAAAATGCCTGTATTTTTGAAATTTGTTTATATTGTACTTGAGGAACAGTAGCATTTCAGCGTTTTCGGATAAAAGCCTTGACCTTTCGTGTGTGATAATGTTGCCAGTGGTGCCAAAAGCCCGTTTACTGTCTACACTGTTCGGAGGTGCGGAGAGATAATGCCTTGGTATCCTGGCCATTGTGGGAAATTGAGCATCATCTGACTTCCAAATGTGAGGCCAGTGAAAGTAAATGCAGAAACAGTGATGTTGACATGTTTTAGAATCATTATTCTGATTAATGCCTAGCCCCAACTTCTCAAACCCTAACCCCTATTGTTCTCAAAACCCCCACCTTACCCCAGAAATCCACTTCTCAAGCCATGCCTGTTATTAACCTCTATTGTTCTCTGAATCCCCAGCTTTCAGCGGGGAGTCAGTCTTTGTTGCTCAGAACACGTTTTTTTAACTAAACCAATTATTGACTGTAACTTTCAGTACTGTATAAATTGCTACAAAGATTAGGGCTTAGATGCCATTTTCAATTACCCAGAATAGGCTGTTTTTAACTTAGACACTCGGCCAGAGCCAAGTATTACCGGGTAGCCCAATATCTGACTGGGTACCCATGCATCCCTAGTATTGATATAATTGTTCTGTGTGCTGAAACTTGTTTTTTCAAGTTAAAATTTTATACAAAGATTAAAACTACAAAATGTGAATAATAATTATTTTTTATGGACTTTGCAGCTGAAAGAGGTGTGTCGGCGAGAACTCCAACGAACTGAGACAGAAATTTCTCGGAATACTGCTATCATATCAGAGTACAAACAGGTAGTATTTCTATTAAGAATATTTTTATTGAATCAGAAAAATATTATTGGTCATGTATTACTCTTCATAATATAGCTAACTTTGTTTTCCACCATTGACAAACCTTTTCAATCTTAATAAGCCCATAGAGCCTTAAGAATGCTCACAGCACTTGTGCAGGCCAAGACATAGTTGCGAGTATTACATTGGCCTCTTTACTATCAGCTTACTGCTTCATCACATTTTCGGTATGCTTGTGGTCCTGATCTTCCTGGAAGATGAATCCCTGTTCAATGAATCATGTTTCTGAAGAAATAGTATACTGGATCAGAATCTGCTTGTACTTGTTAGATGTCAGGGTGCCATCAGTTTTATATAAATCACCAACACTATGCTTCACTGTAGATATTGTACATTAGCTATAATACTCTCATCTTCTATGTTGTTAAACAAATTGTCGTTGAACAATACAAACTTGAATTTCTTTGTAAAAAGCACATACATCCAACTTTGCACATTCCACTGTTTGTGGTACAGTACCTATTTCAACCTCTTTCTTTCATTACATTTTCTCAGTAGTAGTTTTCAAGTAGTTACATGTCCATTGAGACAACTGTACCAGAGTATATCTTCTTATTCTTGAGGTAACATTCACACCTGTATTTACAGTAATGTCATTGGCAAGACCTGTATTCAATTGTTACCTGTCTTGTAAAGAACATATCCATAAATAGATATTACCAATTTTGGAGGGTTTTGGTTTTGTATCTCAAACACTTCTATTGTTAAAAGTGCTAATTTCATGTACCCTCTTCAGAGTCTTGCATACAGCTTTTGTATGTAGTATGCTCGACCAGCCAAAACTGGTTTTTCCATGTTTTTCGTGCTGTATTTCAGACAGTCAGTCACAGTTTAAACTATCACCTTGTAACTGTGTTCATATGATAAAGGAGTGGCATGCCCATAGAATTGGTCTTTTAGTCCTTTAACCTAACCATTTCTGTAATTATTTTCAATACCATGTATGTATCTAATTTTTTAAAATAAAAGAACCTGAAAATTTATGTTCAAAGAGGATACAACACTTCTTCACACAGTTAAACTTTTTTCCCCATGTGGCTGCCTTAGAGACTTGTATGCCACTAGCCTTTAGACAACTCCCACCTAATTATGCAGCAAAAGCCCTCCACCAATAGAAGGGAAACATATCTCCTTGCATGCAAACTCCCTGTATGCTTTTGCACTTGTGAATCTTTATCATTTTCCTCGGTACTGACCACATCAGATGTATTTTTTCTTTTTCAATTTAACAAGACTTGCAATGTTTACTTAATTTAATTTTCTTTTCTTTCAGACTATGAGCTCACTAGTTCATGTAGCATCTACTACATGTGTAATTAACTTATTTCCTCACACAGGTTATATATCAACTATGGTTTATGGAGGAACATTGACTGAAGCTGATGTGATGGCCATCGTGCATAGGGTAATGGGTTCCCTTTTGCAGCTAGGACTTTCAGCTCCACTCCCTTCTTCAGGCATTCCTTCCCTTCATTTTAAGTCGAGAATGTAGAGGACAAATTTGATTATTTGCTTCTCCTGGTTATACTTTGGGAACTTCTCTCCCTGTTGAAGAGAACCTTTAAACTTTCTCGCATTATCAGACATCAGTTCCAAAATACACTTATCTCCTCTCATAATTTAGCTTTTATCCCAACAAAAGGTTCACTTCTTTGCTCATCCATGCATTGGTATGAATTCTACCTCACTTGCTCCAGTCTTTACACCTAACTATGTTGTCCATAACAATTTTAATATTGTTACTTTTTCTCTACCTACGTCAATGCGCCCTCTGTACCCAATCTGTATATAAGCTCCCCCTTTATTCTTTCTTATTCACTTTATCTCAACGGCAAAAATTATGAAGACGACCTTCAGTGTTTACTGCGGATTTCTCGTCACCACTATTACTACATCTCCCTCATTTACTTTTGAATTATTTTGGACCTTTTTTGTGGGGCTTGAGTTTATTGTTTATTTTCTTGATTTTACAATAAAAAAAAATATTTTGGAGTCATTTTTCGAATATGAATACTCTTGTTCACGTCTCAGACATGGAGTCACCCCTGATGCTCCTCCTCTACCACCCTTATATATAGAGAGGTAGTCTTACATGCAGTCTGATGCTTTTTCTCCTATTGGTTCTGAGGCTGAGATTATGGGAGTTCAAGGGCAGACTAGTTAGTATTTAGACTAAATTTTTTTTCAGTAGCTTCCTTTGCTCAGACAGCTACTCATGAACTTCAGAGGGACATTTCGTCTTGTGCACCCTTTTTACAACTACTACACCATGTTTGTAATCTTTTGAGTATTTCTCCTGTAGCTTATGGCTCTTCACCTTTATTGGAGAAACTGGTTTGTCTGATTACCTGGTCCTTCCACCTTCATCAGACATTGCTGTGCATGCAAGGAGATTTGCAGATCAATTGAGGGAGGGTGCTGCCATGCCTTGTCCTCCTCATTTATTGGATAAGCATGCCCTGGCTTTCTGTTGTTTGGAAAACCATTATTTGGACTCTTCAGAGGTTAGACCCTCTACTTTCTGTTTGAGGCTCTAGACAAGATGCTACTGTTCATCTTAATCAATCTCAGTTTTCGAGAATTCATCTGTCACTCACAACAGTTTTACGTTTTTTTATCATCTTTGCAACTGTTGTCTGAGGCCTATCATAGATCACCTGCTCAATTTTTGGAGGATCGTAGTTATTTATTGACTTCAACTTTGGTCAGGTTATCAGCTTCTGCTCTCTCCTTTGGTTGGTTTATTGCTAGGATCTTTTGGAGAGAGATGCCTTACTGGAAAGAGTTTGCCTTCCTACATCAGCCCTTGGAGATCTCAGAGAAGCTCCTTTTCTCAGACAGTCTGTTTTTGTGGGAATTCCAGACTTCATGGAATCTTGAGTAGATGTGGCCTGTCTACATTCTTCACTTTCTACATTGGCTTCTTGACTGTCCCAAAGTTCTTCTACAGGATGGTTTACTGCATTTTCCTTTCAAGTTTCCAGACCTCCTGCTTCAGGGCTGTAATCCATTGGAACACTAGGCAATTTTGACCTTACCAGTGGGGATCCTCCTCCAAGGTGGAATGCAGATTTCAGTGTTGGTGACTACCTTATGGGGTCAGGTCCTGTGGTGTCTTGTCTCGGAGGTTTTGTGTTAGTATGGGAGACGTTTACCACAGATTAGTGGGTTATTCAAGGTCTCAGAAGTGGACTGGTCATTTAGTTCACATCTCCTCCTCCTCTGTCACTCATACCAGTTGGCTTTCGATTCTCCAAGTACCCTCTTACTTCCAACTGTCAACACAAGCCATCCAGGATCTTCTGCACAAAGAGGCCATAGAATGCATCATCTCCTCTCTCTCAAGGGTTTTTATTCCTTGCTGTTTGTAGTACTGAATAAAGCAGGTGATTGACGATTGGTCATCGATCTTTCTCGTCTCAATCTCTTCCTCTAGCCTTCTCAGTTCATTGTCGCAGATGCTTATCTTCATATCCTGATCCTCAAGTCTTCAAGGCACTATTTCTGTTTTGCACAGGACAACCAGTTTTGTGCACTACCATTAGTCCTTGCATCTGCTCCATACATTTTTTTGCAGGAGAGTCGGAGCTTTTTCACATCGTCTTCACTCCCTCAGCATTCACACTCACCATTATATGAATGACTGGCTTCTTCTCGCCCATTCCTGCCATTTGGCAGAACTGCACACTCAAACTCTGTTATCAGATGCTGTGAGAGCTGGGTTTCTTATTAAAAAGGAGATGTTTGTTCTTACTCCCACACAGTACCTCATCCATTTAGGGGTGTTTCTCAATTCCAGAGTAAGCGAGGCCCAACTTTCTCATCTATGCCTTCAGATTATGGAATGGGCAGTCCTTCAAATACATTTGTCTCCTTCTCCACCAGCATGCACAGTTCTATCTCTTTTGGGGATGTGAGCATCCTTAGAACCACTCATTCCTTTAGGACGATCCCATATGAGAGCCCTTCAATGGTCGTTATGAGACCAGTGGAACATTTGCACATGTATGCTGGATTGTCCAGTGAGACTGTCAGATTCCAGTTTGCTGGACCTCTGGTGGTAGTTGAACAGGGACAACAGAACATTAAATGTCCTTCTACCACCTCCATGGCCAGAGATACATCTGTTCACAGATGCTTCTCTTCAGAGATTGGATAGTAGAGGAAGCTTCTCTCCACATCAATCTGTTAGAACTTTTAGCAGTTCCACGAACTATGACTCAGGGTCTCAAATTATTGTGAGGTAAAGTGGTAATGCTTCATTTGGACAATCCCACAGTAGCTTCACATATTTCAAAGCAAGGGGTCACTCACTCCAGATCTCTTTGTTTTTGAATAGTGGATATTCTTCTTTGGGCACACAACCAGATTGTTCTCCTTACTTGTCATGTTTCACGGGTAATGAATCTAGTGGCTGATCAGTTATCTCATCCAAACAGAGCTCTTGCTATGGAATGGATGCTTCATCCTCAAGTTTTTCATTGGATCATGCTCTTGTCTAGGGACATCATAGATTGATGCTTTTGCCACATACTGGAATGCTCAGTTCTCTTACTTCTGGTCTCCAGTGCCTCATCTTCTGGCTTTGGGAGTAGATGCTCTCAGCCAGAATTGGATGGGTCTTCATCTTTGTGCATTCTCTCTGATTTATCTGCTTTGTAAGGTTCTGGTACTGATTTGCTCATTGTTCTGTGGAGTGCTACTGGTGGCATCATATTTGCTGGGTCAGTCCTGGTTTCCACTCTTCCAGTATCTTCAGGAGTGTCCCTGGCCATCTCTCTTACGTCAGCCTTGGTCAGATATTTTTTACTACTTGTATGTAACATTGCTTACTGATACTTTTGATGTGTTTGGTATACCTTTATTTATATACTTTCGGTATTTTCACATAAACTGTCATATTTTTTATTTGTTGTAGATCTGTACCCAGCTAAGCACTAGATTAGAGAAAGAGCAGAATACCAATAAAGAAGCAATTGAACAACTAAAGGTAATAGTTATTGTTTCTGATGCCTATTACTTAAATGTAATTTTTTCCCATGTAAAACAGTTGCAATTGATAATATATAGATACTCCCGTATTATATCTTGTGAATAGTTTTTAAACGGTGTATTAAATAATTACTATTATGATTGTTTAATTACAAACTTTCACAAGCTATATGCAACTTTTGAACACAAATTTTACTGACAAAATGTAGCTCTAAGTGCTACTTAGTTTGGAAAAACTAACCACAATTTTTGATCAAATAGACCACACTGAAGACTTGTGATCAGTGCTTTAAGCTTTTGGAAAGTCAAGACATCTTCAGGCAAAGGTGTCAGAAGAAGATCTACTCTTCTGGGAAGACTACTAAATTATTGGACACAGACAAACAAATTAGGGAGCTAGAAATTGAACTTGCTCAGACCAAGTTAGCTCTGGTTGAAACAGAATGCAAAAATCAGGTAAAGATCTTGTTCAGGAAGGCTGTTATAATTTGATGATTTGTGTCATTGTCTTGATGATCTTTCTTATATCATTCTTTTAAGGACTTAAGTTATTATATATTATGAACAGTCCATATAATTAGTACAGTTTTATATAAAGCTTCAAATAAGTGTTTTCAGAATTCATAACAGTTTTTTTTAGCACAAGCCAGACCGGCATCTTGATGTGGATCCATAAAAAATGAGTCATTGCAGAAAGGTTTGTATTGTTTTGATTAGACAAAAAGGAGATGTTTGGCAATATTTTTGAGGTCTAGGTTACTGGACCAGACTTGTGGCCTAACCTGAGACCATGAAAGTCAATTTATAAATTTAAAGTAAAACAGTGTAGCAGTGAAGCATGCTTGAAATGCTTCAGGGTGTGGTTGTGAATGTGATGATTTAAATGAAGTGATTAAGCTAAACCATGGGACCAGATCGGATGATGAAAGACCTTATTTGAAGATATCCCAAGCTGAATCGGAGATTTGTCAATTGATTACTGGCTTGACACGAAATATAAAAAAGTGGGCACAATAGTATCATTATCTTCAAAACAGGGGATTGGAATCATATATATATAAGAAATCTTTAGTTGTGTCAAACTAGCACCACAGTAAAGCCCAAAGATGCAACGATGAGGTTGAGATTCATGATGCATTACAAGATGATTTTCTCAAATTAAAAATGCCATTTCTACAGTGGAAAGTAAATATAAGAAGGATAGTATAATGCTGAGTATGGTACCATCATTGTATAATCCATATAGATTTCATCATGTCTTATTTTCATTAACATTTAGTTGTTTTTTTTTAGTTTTATTAGTTGTGCCAAGCTTCATTCATTGAGATCTATTTAAGTAACCCTAAATCACTGGTTTCTGGAATGATCCCTCCTGTTGACCATCTTAGGCTCAGTACTAAACGATGCTGGGATGACTTGCTGGCAGGTGTTAATATATATATATACTGTATATATCCTGTTTTTTACTGCAAAGTCAGTAAATGATAAGTTTTTTTTATCAATTTTGAAAGCTGTGTTAATTTTCCATATCAAACATTTTTTGTCTCCAATTTTGATGACGGAATTTCCTAATAAACATTTTATAAACAAGATAATTTTGTAATGATGACCATAGATGAGTGTAAACTTTCTGTAAGTTTATTTTAACGGTAAAATCCTTAAAGTTTATGAATTATTTAGCTTACCCTTATTTATAAAGCAAGGTGAGCTAAAAAACAAGCATTGCATTTAACACTAGTCTTCACTTCTTTTGACATCTTTGGAAATTTAAAGCAAATCAGCACCATATTTGCCAGGGTCCTAACGCTGTGTTTAAGTAAATTGTGTGCATTGTAATAAAAACAAATTTAAAACTATTCTGTAAGTTGATTGATTTCAAATTAGTTGCTTTGTTTTCAAATAATATCTATTATCTTTATACAAGAAGTGGATTTACGTCTGATTGTTTTTTTTTTATATGCTAAAATTATTTCTATAATCCATAATGCTTACTTTTCAAATTGCATACACATTTTTCATGTTATTTTAAGTACTGTATTGGTGCAATTAATGCTTTTTTATGATACCCTTTCTTACACACACCTTAAAATGACAATGTAGATTAGTTTAATATTGAAACATATCCTATAATAATGACATATTGATTATTTCATATTTTTGCCCATGATTTTTTATTTTATGCTAATTGAATAATTATTTTTTCACTGTTGTTGTTAGGATTTAACCCATCAACTGAATTCTGCTCTTCAAGAATTGCAAGCATCCAGAAATACATGGTTTCACAAGACGTTATCCTCCATACGTGATGCAGCACGCAAAGAGATAGGAGGAACTGGCCGAGAAGGCAAGGAGAGAGAGGCAACCTGATCCTTGTACATTTTGAAAGCTTTTTATACAGTTATGCTAATTCACATTTATAAAAGTAATGTACTCACATTTTCTGTAATTCATAGTTTAATGCTAAGATTAAAAACTGTGATTTTATTCATAGTTATCAAATTATAGCCTTATTACTTAAATACAATATTGCTGGTGTCCTGTAAAATGTGGTTGTTTTTTTAGCAGTCGGCTGAGAGTTAAAGAATTATTTCATTGTAAATAAAAAAATCAGGGAAGTTGTATAACATGAAGTACTTATCATAAGTGAAAGTAAAGATTTATTGTTGGGTTGATGATCCAAATGATAAAGTGGTAAAGAAATCTTTGTTGTTTTAAGGTTGTTATTCAGCTAGTAAATAACTATGGAAATATAGAACTGTTTATAAGAACCTAAAAAAAGCAAAATAATATTGAATATACCTTTGTAATTACAGCATATAATACATGCAACACACACACACACACATATGTACATATACTGTAAATGATATATCTATGAAAATTTATTTTTTTATTTCTGTTAGACATTCCAGATTTTTTTTTGACAATATTTAAACACTCACCTTACCAGTAGCAGAGCAATATTTGTGTAGTGCAACTTGTAATGCTCATTGTTATGTTTTTGCTATCAATTTTAACAAATGCAAGGATCCTGTAATTTTTGGTATTAAAACGATCTGTTACAGCTTTTTAAAGATTTTTGAGAAGTATTGGTTTTGATTGTATATCAGTTTTCAACTTGTAGAAAAAGCCTTTCTTTTGTTTCAGTTAGATGGTTAGACATTTCCTTTCTTATTTACACTGATTTGTTAGTTTTAATTTATGCACTAAAAATGAATGGTAGTATCAAAACTTTATAAAATATTTTTTAAGTTTTTGTTTGTTTTTAAACAAGGACAAGAGAGAGAGAATTTTTATTAGAAATTGAAATATTAATCGAAAATGTAATATTTCTTCCAAAAAGAATTTGTTGATTGATAATTTCATTGATATATAATAAGTAAATTGAATGATTACAAAAATGATTGAAAGAGAAATGTATTATTATATATTGTTTAACACTGTAGTAAAAATAGAAATGTATATATAGAAGTAGATTCTGTATGTATACATGTACTGTACTTTTAGCTTCAGAAAAACATTATTCAAGTTAAATAAAAAAATCAAAATATTGAAAATGTGTATTTTTTTTAACACGAGCATAGTTATATGGTGGGGAGGGACCAATGCAGCTGGCCTGGATTTGATGCACTGAGTACTGGAAGCTTAATCAAGAAAATTTACACCAATTTTTCATTTATCCATTTGATTTTGTAGAAATTTGTGACTGTGTGCAGAAGTGCTATACATAGATGGAATAAAATTATATGAATAACCAAGAAATGTACCTGTGTTGAAGATTAAAGTATGTGAAACAATTAAAAGCAAATATCATCTCTTAAGGTAAATATATAGTCCACAAAACATGTAAAAATATTTTGCCAAGTAATTCGTAACTGTTCCTTCTCTTTTTTTTTTTTTTCTACTGGTTTGAAAGTAACAGTTATTTTCCAGTTTTGGTGCTGTACTTTAGTTCAATTTTTGGTTACACATTGGACATTTTACCATAACAACAAATTTGTGTAAAGATCTCATAAGGTAATATGAGTATATAACAAAAAGTATCAAGAAGAAATACATTGACATTGTTTAATGTTTTGTAGGTAGTGTGATACTAACAAACAGTGATAGATTTTGAGTAGGGTATGTAACAACCCTTTCCATTACAAAATATTCTTAAACTAGAAGTATGCTTAAAAAATGTTAAGTTTTAACTGATATTAGAATCCATTTGTAGACATACTAGCAGAGCAGCTGCTGGCTTCACTTACTGTTAGAAAGGCATTATAAGTCCAGCATGGCCTTATATGTTCTTTTCGAAGGCATCTTTTAACTCTGAGTTTGCATCACTTTGCTAACTTTTCATAGAAAGTATCCCACCTAACTCATGATTGCAAAGAGAGTGTAAGAAGATGAAAAAAAAGGATTATTTTTTCTAATAAAATACAGTTGTAACAGTAGAATTGTAATTGGCACTGTTAATATATACATGTGTTTCTCCAATATGGTAAAATGAAGACGTTGTGTGTGGCTATTAAACTTTTTTCAGTAACCTTGATATCACTACACGTTTGTTAGTAAAGATCCATAAAACTGTGTGATTGTTATTGTAAGCAATGTGGTGTGTATTTTAAAAATTGGCATTTGGCAATATATTTTTACATTTATGTACAACTGGGAGTCAAAAAAAAATTATAATTATACTCGACAAAAAGTGCAGTGAATAAGCAGAAAATAGTAATCACCTTGGTATCATTTTGTGTGTTGTTCACAACTAAACTTAAGTAGTTTTTTTGCCAGATGAAGTTCAAATAATATTAACTTTGTTGTGATCATCAATTTGAGATTATGATTAATGGAAATATCATATTGTACTCTTTTTTTTTTTTTATATAACTAGGACAGAATATAAACTTATTTAGTAACTTTTTTATCTACAGGTTTCAATATCCTTTTATGCTGGATGTGGAAGAGTTATAAACTTATACAAATTCTCTTCCTTAAATAAAGGCTACACATAGCAATCCCATTTGAGCTTAATTTTGTGTGTGTGTGTGTGTATGTGAGGGGGGGAGCAGATTCTTAAGGAGGTCCAGGATTTATACAACCTCAGCAAGCTCTTGGATCTTTCTAAAGGGAATATGTATCCTGGCAGTGAATTATACTCACTTTAGAACATGCATGCATACAGTAAAATGTAAAACTAGTATTTTATTGTGTCAGGTTCTTCTATCCTTCTTGGAGAGTGTCCTGCTCTTCCAAAGAGTAGTATAGAGCCTTTTACAAGGTATTACGATTTGGGAGTGTCTCTCCTTCGAATATGTTTAATAGTAATGATCGTTGGCATAGGTAATTAAGGATTGTGGGATACCACACTAGTATTTTGATCTGAAAGAAAATTGGGGTACCTTCCTGATTCTCTATTTTGACATGTTATGGATTTTGTCTTCATTCTGTGCAAATATTTTTTTCAAATCCAATTCTCTACTACAATAGCTATTTGCAGTTTTTAATACCATTTATAGACGTTGGGCAGTTAAGTGAAGACTTACTCATTCTATGAATAAAGATTTTATTTTATTTGTACACTTATTTAGTACTTTAGAGTTATTTAATATCTACTACTATCAGAAAGTATCAACTATTGCTTGTTTGAAGAAAAAATGATAAATATACATCCAAACAACTGCTGATAATATTGATTAATTCAACATTTTAGACTTAATCACTTCATAAGTATCCCAACCCAGGCAGATTTGTTATATTAAAAGTGTTACACATGATAATGATTTAATTGAACTATTATGCTTAGTATAATGATTTGTCTGTTCGCTATAGTATGTCAGTTATTATCCTGGTTTGCTGCAGGAGTGAAGATAATATACCCATAAAGCTTTCTGTTCGATAGATGGTGCTATCGTAATGATTAATCTTGTGGTTTAATTTGGAAAAAAGCTTAGTAAAAATTAACAGGTTTTCTTTGAGTTTTTATCACACGTACGCTTTCAACACCCAAGAATATGAAAAACAAACCTTCAAGATTACTCCCCCACACATTATATCAGCTTTTCTAAATACTGTTTATGTACTATATTTAATTGTGCTACTGTATATCTAGTCCTGCTTCTGAAACTGGAAGGCAAGCTCATTCCTTGTGCGGAACAACTTCTCAGTAGTGTTAAATAACTACTTCCGTTTACATTTATCATTTCTGTTTGGTAATCAAATTGATATACATTAGGTTTTGGACATACTGTTGATAACGTCAACTCATTTATAACATTGAATAACCATGTTCCCTATGTTTGTATTTTATCAAGATAAAAGTGCTTCGGGATGATAACTTTCTTTTCACATAACTCTGGGACTTAAACTTTATCGCTGTAAAATGATAGCTAATAATGCAAATGTTTTAGAAATCGTTTTCTTCAACATACATTCTCTTTAATTTAATAAGTACTTTTTTAAAAGACAAAGGGGTGTGTGTTTATTTAAAGCAAAACTGCATCAGGCTATCTACTGTATCTACTAAGGAGAATCCAAGACCTGATTTTAGCATTGTAAATCCGTAGACTTATCGTTGCCCCACCGGAAATACGACAAAGTGGAATGAGTTACTACATCAAAGTATGACGAATGACCGACTATATTAGGTTAACGGGAATCAAGAGAAGGATTAAAACAGTGTTCAACGTTTTATTTTATCAAATTCTTTATCAACTGCATAATTGGCATATTTTTATTTATCATATATGAATCCGTAACCTTATACGAAATAAGAAGTAGGGTATGTGGTGATAGGAGCCAGTATTTATCTTCCAGCGAGATGATTTAATGAGATAAATCTACAGAAATTATATAAGCCTTTTGGTGATGCTACATAAATCATAAGAGTCGACAGAATTATTGAAACCCGAGACATACAGATGAGGTAGTATAGATATGATGAAACACTGAGTGCAACAGTGAGAACCAGTTTAGTATCTGATGGCCAGATGACGAACGAGGTATATCTGTTTGTGTTGACTGATGGGATAGTGATAAAGTTCCCCATAGCAAGAATAAAGGTGATCACTTCTTCTTCTTTCTGGGTCTTCCAAATTTCTATTTCCAATCACCATGTCATAGATGCAATCACAAGAGCTCAAGAAAAGAAAAGGAAGCAAGATATCACGCCCCTGCAAGTCTCAAAAGACATCTCAAATCTAGTCCTACAGAACTGAAGGAAGCACAGAAGAAAGACCCTTCACTGCAGAAACTTTGAAATAGTGCCTGGGAGAAAGCCAAATTCAAGATTAAGGGGAAAAGGACTTACAGAATAGAGGACCAGAAGGTAGTACTGCACTGGATCTGTCAAGGCAGTTCTATTGAGGAAGTTAAACAGATCATAGTACCAATAAAATACCAGACTCAAGTGATGAAATTGGCTTACAAGTCAATTGTGAGAGGAGCAAAGAAGATGGCAGAAAGAATCACTAACAACTTCCATCATCTGGGGCTCATCAGAGTTTTGACAGATTCTGCAGGTCATGTAACATTTGTCAAAGAACAGTACCTAGAGGGAAGGTAGCCAAGGTGTCACTGGGTAAGATACTTCTCATAGAACAGCTCTTCAGCAGAGTAACTGTGGACTTTACACCTGCTATCTGACAAGGGAAACCAGTATGTGCTGACAGTAGTCAATCATGTGACACGTTATCGAGAAGCCATAGCACTGCCGGAGATAGAGTGGCAGAAGCCCTCCTAGAAGTGTTCTGCAGAGTAGTCTTTCCAAAAGAGGGACCCAGTTTACTTCAGAACTGATGTAAGAGGTGTGCGGACTCATCAGCATGTGGCAGCTCTTTATCATCCAGTACAACCTCAGATGTAATGGACTTTCTGAAAGAGTCAATGGAGTGTTAAAGAGCATGCTGAAGAAGATGTGCTAGGAGAGACCACGTGACTAGGACATGTTCCTGAATTCAGTATTACTTGCTTACCGAGAAGTCCCACAAGCCAATAGAGGATTTTCACCCTTCACGTTACTGTACAGAAGAACAGTACAAGGTTCAATGCAAATATTGAAAGAACTGTGTACAGGAGAAGAAGAACCAGAAGTGAGGAACACATACCAATATGTGTTAGATTTCGGAAACCGACTGGAGGAGATCTGTTGACTGGCTCGAGAAAGCTTGCATGTAGCTCAAGGCAATCAGAGCACTTCTGTGGAAAGAAGGTCAAGGATCGATGTTTCAAGGTCGGACAGAAGGTCTTGCTTTTACTACTCACAGACAACAACAAACTCACCCTGCAGTGGTGCAGCTCTTGAGACACAGATGGACAAGGCAGGTGTAGCTGCCATAGACACAGAACCAGAAGATGGTGACTTTATAATAGAAGATGAAGACCTATTAGACCTAAGACCACTGGGTGGAGATGAGATGACAACAT